CTACTATCATTTCTGTAAACACAGCTGTGGTGTACTAGAAAGACCATGAGATTTGGAGACAGATTTTGGAGTCACATCCTGACTTATTAGTAGTGTGACTGTGGAATAGTCATTTTGCTCCCTGAACCCCAGTTTCTTCATCTGTACAATGAGGATTTTAAAAATCCACCTTATATGGTTACTGTAAGGAGGAATTCAAGTGAGGTAACTTCTGGCATGCACCAAGCACATAGCAGGCACGCAACAAGTTCAACAGTCATTAGATGACACCAGATAAGTTCAAAGAAACTTACTCTAGTTTCTCCACTTTGCAGTTGGAACGTCTAAGACCCACACAAAGATACTTCACCCCTACGTCCCCCAAGGAATTTTCACTCAGGCCCAGTTCAGTGAGGTGTGGGTTGCAAATAAGAACAGAAGCAAGATGCTTGCAAACAGTTTCTGAGCATTCTGGGAGAAGGCTAGCACATAACCCGAAGGGAAGGATATACAAAGACAGAATTGACCACTTAGTGTACTATTCACTCCCTATTACCAACATTGCATGAACACAGAAAATCAAGACCCACAAGTACAAAATGCCCTGTCTTGAGCATGTCACAGCCCCCTATCCCCATGGCAAGGACATGGTCAATAATTTCAAAACAATTAATTTCAAAATAATTTCCAAAGGATTTGGAGGAAATATTAAGATGATTTAATCTCATGTTAAATCCCTGTATGAATTTAACACTTTATTGCATATCTCCTTTCAAATCCCAGGGATGAATCCTATAATCAAACTTTATAGGCAAAAGGTCTTTCTTGTGGTTCGCACCTATAATCCCAGAATTTCAGGAGGCTGAGGTGGGTGGGCTGCTTGAGCCCATGAGTTTGAAGCCATCCTGGGGAACATGGCAAAAGCCCATCTCTATGAAAAATACAAAACAAACAAACAAAAACTAGCTAGGCTTTGTGGCACCTGCCTGTAGTCCCGACTACTCAGGAAGCTGAGGTGGGAAGATAGATTGAGCCCAGAAGGCAGAGGTTGCAGTGAGCTAAGATCACGCCACTGCACTCCAGTGAGACCCCATCACACACACAATAAAAAGGTTCTTCTTTTCCTCTTATCTAAATATCATTATTAATTTCCCATCCTTAGAGAGACTCAACCCATAATATTCTTTCTTTGTCACAAAGAGTGGTTCTTACTGAGGTCCCCGTATTCTTAATCTTTGTTTCTCCATATGAAGTAGTACGATTCCTTGAACTATTTTCCATCAACTTTTTCTCCTATCACGTTCAAGAATTTCTAGATATACCCTACAGCCTTTAAATCTTTCAATTTTTTTTTTACTAACTCTGTCACTCGGGCTGGAGTGCAGTGGTGTGATCTCAGCTCACTGCAACCTCCACCTCCCAGGTTCAAGCGATTCTCCTGCCTCAGCTTCCTGAGTAGCTGAGACTATAGTAGCCACCACGCCCAGCTAATTTTTGTATTTTTAATAGACACCGGGTTTCACCATGTCAGCCAGGATGGTCTCAATCTACTGACCTCGTGATCTGCCCTACTCGGCCTCCCAAAGTATTGGGATTACAGGCATGAGCTACCGTGCCTGGCTGAATCTTCCCATTTTTTCTAAAGACTATAAACTCAACCTTGAAGAGAGCTCATACAGAGATGCATTTATAACTCCCCAATTTAGAAATTTTAAATAGAGGTACTTCTCATAAAATGAGTTTTCAATGTGGATTTCAGATTACTTGAATGCTAGAGTTTTTGCTTTAAAAAATCCCACATATATATTGTTACGATTAATTTTATGTCAACTTGGCTAAGCCATGGTACCCAGATATTTTGTCGAGTATTATTCTAGATGCTTCTGTGAAAGTACTTTTCAGATGAGATTAACATTTTTAATCAGCACATTTTGAGTAGGTTATCCTCCATAATATGGTTTGGCTTCATCCAGTCAGTTGAAAGCCTTAATAGAAAAAGACTGACTTCCTCAGAAAAGGGAGTTCTACCACCAGACAACCTTCAGGCTCGAACCACAAAATTGACTCTTTTCCAATACTCTAGCCTGCTGGCCTATCCTTCAGATCTTGAACTCGCTAGTCTCCATAACTGTGTAAGCCAATTTTTAAAAGAAAATCTATTGCTGGCTGTCTCACTACCCCCCACCCCCACCACATGCACGCATGCATGCGTACACACGCACATACACACACTAGTTCTGTTCCTCTGGAGAACATTGACTAACATAACACTTCTTTTCATTAATGTGATTATCATGGACTTGAAGTCAGACACATCTGGGTTTTGAATTGGACCTCTGTCATATTTCTTTTAGCTTAATGACATCGGACCTCCTCCATTTCCTTATCTGCAAAAATACGAATAATAATCTGGACCTTTCACAGCTGTTGTGCAAGAGTAAAAGAATCTGTGCATACTCAGCACAATGCTTAGTACACAGTAATTGCTAAGTGTGAGTTATTATTGTTATTGATAATGTTTCCACTTAAAATGAAAATTCTCTTCCTAAACTTATTACACAGAAATTTTAGGAACTGCCACCTTTATTCTGCCTCTTCAGGACTCCTTCAAATGTGTTTTGATCCTAAGACATGCGTCTTAAGTTGCATATTTTTCAAATATTCTTGCAGAATGAAAACTAACAGAACTTACTTGAGCTTCTGTAATTTGCAATTTGGATGTTTTAAGCCATCACAGAGCAACTTCAAAGCTGAAGCTTCCAGTTTTGTCTCACTGAATTCCAGCTCAGTGAGCCACTTATTGGTGCTAAGAACAGCTGCTAGAGCCCCACAAGAAGCAGAAGAGATAAGGGACCGGTACAACCTTTAGAGAATGGCGAATCACCTCATTACCATATTCATGCCCTCCCCCAATAAAAATAGAAACTGACCCCCAAAGTAAGAATATCAAATAACAAATTATCCTTCTACCAATTACCTCAATGTCTGTAATACACAGTTGGGATGTTTTAATCCTTCACACAGAAGCTTCATTCCTGAATCTTCAAGGGTACTTTTTACAAATTCTAAATCTGTCAGATAATGGTTGGTTTCAAATACTGAGGAGAGGTCCCTACCACAAGAAGCTGTGAGGTGACAGAAGATCAGTCTGTGTGCAGAAAAAAGACATTTCAGAACAAAAAATAAAGAAAATAGGGATGTCTTTAAAGGTATTTGTTGGCACCTTGCTGATGTAATAAATTATTTCAATTCATTCAGTAATTAATATATATTGGGTGCTTACCACTGTTCTAGATGCTGAAAACACAAAGATAATTAAGACACATACTACACCCTCAAGAAATGCCCAGTTGATGGAGAAAAAATGAGAAAATCACAGATTACAATACAGTGTGAAAAATACTGCCAGACATTTGCACAAGTTATTATGGGGACACAGAAATGTTGCAGAATTCAGCCTAGCTTGAGGTGGGTTCTGGAGAATCAGGAAATACAAGAGGAAGAAATGTCTGAGCACTGTCATGAAAGGGGAATGGAAATTGTATAGGTGAATGAACAGAATGGGAGTAAAAAGAGCAGGACGAGATGAGGGGCAATCCGTGCATGCACAGAGCAGCCTGTGTGCAAGAGCCAGGAGGAAAGAGAGAGATGCTTCGTTTGAAAAACTAAAAATGACTTGCTATGGCCTATCTTAAAAGACTATATAATGAACTATTAACAGGGGTTATCAGTGATTTTGAAAGAAGGGTAGGTTTATAGAAGTACTTTGCAAGTACTTAAAAATTATTTACAATGATCAGCCATTACTGGAAGACACTTTTCTTCAGTTTTGAAAAACATAATACATGTTTATTATAAACAATTTTACAGTAGAGAAAAATATAAATAATATTATTTATTTATTTTTGAGATGGAGTCTCACTATTGTTGCCCAGGCTGAAATGCAATGGTGCTATCTCGGCTCACAGCAACTTCCGCCTCCTGGGTTCAAGCGATTCTCCTGCCTCAGCCTCCCGAGTAGCTGGGATTATAGGCATGCGCCACCACGCCTGACCAATTTTTGTATTTTTAGTAGAGACAGGCTTTCTCCATGTTAGTAAGGCTGGTCTCGAATTCTCCACCTCAGGTGATCCACCCACCTCAGCCTCCCAAAGTGCTGGGATTACAGGCGTAAGCCACCGCGGCCAGCCAAGAATATTTTTTAAAGTACTGTATTCCTATTACCCAAAGATAACCACTGTTAGAGTGCCAGTACATAACTTTCCAGATTTATAATGTATGCAAACATATAGTTATATGCTCTTTATAAGAAGCGAAATTAGAGAGAAATGTATTTTAAAGAGGTAAAAACTTTTTTCTAACTTCCACTTCCCAGTGATAACTAATGTTAAGAGTCTGCTCTGTATCCCTCATTCTGTTCTCCAAGATTATAGAAAAATGCAAACATATGCAAACATACACAACACACACACACGATTTCTACATTTTACAAACATAGGATAGTATAAAACATTACTCTTTCAACTTTACATGCCCTTTTGTCATTGGTCGTCATCAGAGACCCACAGGTAGAAACAGATTCAGTTACTGTCTGGTTTATCTTGTGGGTCTCAGAAAGTCATTAAAGGTTTTGTGTGTGTGTTTGTGTGTGTGTGTGTGTGTGTGTGTGTGTGACAGAGTCTTGCTCCGTTGCCAGGAGCCAGGCTGGAGTGCAGTGGCGCAATCTCGGCTCACCACAACCTCTGCCTCCCAGGTTCAAGCAATTCTCCTGTCTCATCCTCCCGAGTAGCTGGGACTACAGGTGCGTGCCACCACACTCGGCTAATTTTTTGTATTTTTAGTAGAGACGGGGTTTCACCATGTTAGCCAGGATGGTCTTGATCCCCTGACCTCGTGATCTGCAGGCCTCGGTTTCCCCAAGTGCCGGGATTACAGGTGTGAGCCACTTCGCCTGGCTGAAGGTTTTAAGAGAAATATTCATATATCCCTCTGATGACAGGGTAGGACAGGAGGCTGACTGGATGTCAAATGCTGTAGTCGAGGGAAGGAATGATGAGGGATGGATAATTCAAAACGTTTCAGTCGGGGAGGAGTGGGAGAAGCGGGATGAGAAGAAGGTGGGGAAAGAGGAGTTGGGGGAGGAAGGCAGGGCCAGGATTTGTTAGGGTGTCTGTGCTGTCCTGAGCCAGTATGGGATAAGCTCTTCCCCTAGCTCCACCCTCTTCCTCCAAGGGCAACTGAGGGGTTGGGGCCGTTTCCTGTTCGGGAATATTCCAGGTGGGGGGCGAAACTCCCCACTACCCCTCACCCCACCCCCCCTCCCACCCCCACCATGGGACAAACCATTATGGTGGGGAGGGATGAGACTTCGACTTGTTCACAAATACTTCATTTTTTTTGTTTTAGCTCTAAGTCTTTCCGGACCACTCCTGTTTCTTTCATCCTGCAAGGGCTCCCAACCATGTGGCGGGTTTCCTTATATCCCAATGGAGTGGTAGAGGCCTTCCTCACTCACTCCCTTTCACCTCTAGAGTCTCTGGAAATTGGAACAGTCCCAGAGTAAGTGCCTCGAAGGCTGACCCTGAGGCTTTCTTTCTGCGCAGCCCTAAGAGGGATAGAGGCCCCCTTCTCTCTTCGGGTGTGTTAGGCAGCTAGGTTGGCCACAACGTCCTCTGGCCCCTGGCTGAAGAGGTGAGGCTTGGTGGGAGGTATCCTAGGATAGGACAAGCCGGTCAGAGGGCCATTAGGAGGGTCTTGTGCAGGGGGCGGGGGGGGGGAGCGGAGGGTGGTGGGGACAGGAATAAGGTTGGAGAAGACTGATGAGGGGAGGGGCTAAGGGGGAGGGAAAGAACCTATTGGTTGCTCCATCCACACAGGGCTTGCGAAACCATTAAGCCCCTAGGCGACCATGGCCTTGACACCAGTAGTGAGTTCCAGCACGGCACTGTGGTGACATTCATCAACGAGAAGATAGTCAGACACAAGAGGCCCCGAGTTCTACCTCGAGAATATATCCTTATCCTGGGAGGAGGAAGACAGGCTCAGGGCCATCCTGGCGAACAGCGAGGTGCCTAGCGAGGTTAAAGAGGCCTGCACCTGGGGCAGGCTGGCCTTGGGCATGCACTTTGCCCACAGGCAGGCAGAGTTACAAAACCACAGGGTGCTGTGGCTGCAAAACTTAGCCAAACTGCACAGATCAGCTGTGCTAGTCTTGGCCTCAAACCTGACGGAACTCAAGGAAAAGCAGGAGATGGAATGCAGTGAGGTGACCTTCCAGTTGCAACTGACCCAGACCAGCCTTGTGGAGGTGCAGAGAGAGAGCGGGACATGCTGAGATGGAAGCGCTTCTGTGCCGTAAGATCCCCTGAATGGTCCTTGCCCAGTGCCCCTGCCCTGCTCCAACCCACCCGGACCCCTGCCCTGTCCCCAAAACGTGTCTCAGCTCTGTCCACTTCTCTGCAGGAGCTGGCATCTCCCCAAGGGCAGGGCCAGGCTATTGTGTTTCCAGGCCTGGCCACTGCTGGAGGGGCGTGGACGGAAGGAGCAGATGAACAAGAAAAAGAGGTGGCTAATGCTGGTGCTGCTAGAGGAGGAGGAGAGGAGAGGTATGCAGAGGCGGGGCCTGCCCTGGCAGAGGCCTTGCGGGGACTGGGAGGAGGCTTCAGGCAGCTTCTTGGAGCAGTGGAGCAGACAAATTACACCTTTGGGGCAAGAGGAGGAAGATCTCAGGTCAGTACAAAGAGCCATGTCTTATTTGTCTGGGCCTGGATCCACAGCCTCACTGGAGCCTATTCCTGTCCAGCTCCCTGCCTCATTCACATACTCATACTCATACTCATGCCTTTTGTCTGCTTTCTCAGCCATACCCACTATACTCCCTCCACCAGCAATGGTCATAGTACCGGTTCCAACCCAGATGCCTTCCAACAGGGGGTCCTCTGATGCTAGCCTGTGGTCTAATGTGGGGGCCCAGGGACTAGACCCTCAAGAGCTCCCAAGAGACAGGAGAGACTCTGATCCCCATGAGCAGAGAAGACCTCCAGTATATCTCAGGCCTGGGGACTGGAACTGCCCAGGTGTAAAGCTGTGAATTTTTGACCGAGGGAAAATCCTCTGTGGGAGGCTAATCTGGCTGCAAAAGCCTCAGTAAATTCAGAAATGTAAAACAGAACAGAAATATATCTCAATGGGAAATCAGTCTTCAGAGAGAGAGGGGAGAGGTGGGAGGGAGACTGAGTGAAGTGAGGGGGGAAGGGGATAAGTGGGAAGACTGGGCAATGCAGGGGAGGTGGGGCTGTGGGGGGAGGATGTAGATGATGGGCAGGGAGAGATATGCTTTAATGACTCCCTTTGTATTTCAGAGGATTAGTAGTCAACACTCCAGAACTACTTTCTCCCTCCATGCAGTCCTTAGATAATTGGAGCAGGAGTGGATATTTGACTAATCCTGAGCGAAATGAACTTTTTCACATTAGAAAATGTGAACAGACACCGAGCTTAGTGGCTCATGCTTGTAATCGCAGCACTTTTGAGAGGCTGAGGTGGGAGGATCACCTGAGGTCAGAAGTTGGAGACCAGCCTGGCCAATATGGTGAAACCCCGTCTCTACTAAAAATACAAAAAAAAAATTTAGCCGGGCATAGTGGCACACACCTGTAGTCCCAGCTATTCGGAGGCTAAGGCAGGAGAACTGCTTGAACCAGGAAAGGCAGAGGTTGCAGTGAGCAGAGATCATGCCAGTGCACTCCAGTCTGGGCAACAGGGAGACTCCGTCTCAGAAAAAAAAAAAAAAAGAAAAAGAAAAAAATCTGAACAGACAGGCAGATTCCACAGTCTTCAGAATGGTGTTGGGCAATGAAGCAGTGGGTCACTTGGAGTTGGGGCCAGGGTCAGAGCCATGGACACCAAGGCCACAGCTGAGGCTCGGCCCTGACTATGGGGGAACAGAACTGCATGCTTTAGAGAGTCAAGTGTTTTTTAGAGGATGCCAGTATGAGGTTTCAGGGAGCAGACAGGCACAGAGGAGTTCATCCTGTGACTCTAGAGAGATGGAGAGGGTAGTGGCAGCCCAGCCACTTTTAACTCCCTGTAGTTGTGCTACATGAAAGTCTACTTTACACAGATACCTTTTACTTTGAGTTTCTGTTCCGAAAAATCAGATTATTTCCAAGTTAGAAGTTTGTACCAGAGCAGTTTTGAACAAAAGACCATTAAAGAAAATGGTGGGAATGACTGGAGAGTTGCATCAGGGTGTGGTGAGCAGTGGAGATTCCTGCATCTTAAGAGTTTCCATGAATTAACTGGATAGGAAGTTCATTCATGCTCTGAGTGAGTTATATCACAAGAAACAATCAAAACAGTCCTGGGATGAACCCCAGGTGCATCCTGACTCAAATCAACACAGCAGAGATTTGCCGCCCCAAGAGAATTCTTAGGCCCACCTACAGAAAACACCAGCACCATGTAGGTACAGACTATTATGACTGTTTGGCCCTATGGCAGGAGAATCCTTTCCAATCCCCAGTGAGTAGAACTTGGGACAGTCAGATCTGAAAAGGGAACTCCTGCCACTGCCAAGGAGGTGAGTCAGTAACTGATAGAGCTCAGAGGGTTTGCTGGTCTAGACTATGAGCCAAAGCATGGTACCATCTTGAGAGATTCTCTCTCCTAAACCACCACCATGATAAATGCAGGAGGGAAATCTGGCTACAAAGCTCTCAGTGTATAACAGAACAGAAACGTATCCCAATGGGAAATCAACTTTAAAAGGGAAGATGTGAGGTGGACGAGGATAGGAATGGGTAGGATAAAGGGGTAGGTGACAGGTTAGTCGTCTTCTCTCCCTCTGATGACTGTAAGTTTTGTTGATGGGGGCTACATTTATGTTTTTGCCCACAGGTGGAAGGATGAGAAGGAGTCACATCTGGACCAGACTGAGACACAACTGGAGGAACCCTGGACACTGTCCAAGGCCTGTGGGTATATAGAGACTGAGAATCTGTCATGGCCCTGGGACATCTCTGCAGCAGCTAAACATGATTTTTAGGTTGTCTCCTGTTGGGTATGGACAATCATCAGGATTGAGGGCCAGATTCCTAGCCTGCAGTTTTCAGAAATGTCCTTGGGCTTGTTTATATCTCTCTAGAACAGGGTTTTCCAATCTCAGTACTCTTGACATTTGGAACTGGATAATTCTTTTTTGCAGGGGGCTGTCCAGTACACTGTAAGATGTTTAGCAGAATTCCTAGCCTATACCTACTAGTTGCCAAAAGCACCCATCCCTCAGCCCCAGTTGTGACAACCCAAAATGTCTCGAGATACTGCCACATGTCCACTAGAGGGCAAAATTGTTCCTGGTTGGAAAACGAGGTACTTGGGAGCAGTCAAAACAGGGGAAGAATTAGGAGAAAAAGGTCAATGAGGCTGAGAGGCCCCCTCAGGAGCTGAAAAGTATCCACTGGGTCTGGCATTTACTTTGAATCTTCCAGCAGATCTAGGAGAGTGGCAGGGGAAGAAGCCAAACTGCAGAAGTGAGGAGTGAGTGAGGATTATGTGGAATCAGTGATGGAGGCTCTTCCTCAAGGACTCTTGGCTGTGCAAAGGGAAGGGTTGAAGTGGGATACTCAGTTGAGGGAGGGTCTTTTTTTCTTTTTTTGAAACAGAGTCTTGCTCTGTCACCCAGGCTGGAGTGCAGTGGTGTGATCTCAGCTCACTGCAACTTCCACCTCCCGGGTTCAAGTGATTCTCCTGCCTCGGCCTCCCGAGCAGCTACCAAGTACAAGTAATTTTTGTACTTTTAGTAGATACCACGTTAGCCAGGCTGGTCTGGAACTCCTGACCTCAGGCAATTCACCCGCCTCGGCCTTCCAAAATGCTGAGATTACAGGCGCGAGCTACTGTACCCAGCTGGTTCTTTTGAATATGGGAGAAATTTGAGCCATGGAGGAGATAGTTGAAGAAACCTTGAAAATGCAAAAACCATGTGAAAGAATGTGGTAGATTCTGCATCCTGTATTGGAGGCATGGCCCCCGTATTGTGAAATGGAAAAAAATCTATGACAAGATCACTTTTGCTTTTGTAAAACAAAACTCCCCAAAGTTCTGTGAGTGTGTATATGAATATTATACATTTATTGATTTATATTTCTCTTATGTTAGAGTTTTATGCTTATGTAGGCATAGAAAATGGTCTAGAAATACACTTAGCAAACAAGGTATTACCTAGGGAGGGTGGACTCAGGGTCAGGGGATAGGAGACAGCAGGTTATGGGGATATAAGGTGGGATGGGGTATGGGGCAGTTGGGTGGAGGCCTTTTATTTCTGTATATACTTCTGTGTTATGAAAGTAAAATAATTAAATGTTCACAAAAATACAAAAATAGTGAAGTGAATTTACTGGCTTGAGTGGCTTGGAAGGGCTGCCTTTTCCTCTGAAACAGGAGGAAAGAAGAAGAGCAGACATTGATCTATATGGCAAAGGGGTGGGAAAGCAAGGGAGCACCTGCTTGTGTGTTTGTGTTGTGGACAAAGTGCCTGGAAGCGAGGATGGAAGGGCAGGGCAGGGGTGGGGTCCTTTGGGTGCAGTGGGGAATAGCTAGGGGGTGAAAGTGGGGAATGGAGGGAGAAAAAAGGATCATCAAGCTGCATGGAGTAGGATAGGACCCAACTGAAAGAAAACTAAGTGGGAGAGCAATGGGAGTCTGGGAGGAAAAGAAAGTGGGTTGGCAGACCCAAGCAGGGCAGCAGACCCAAATCTGTCTCTCAAGTGTTACAACCTTCCACTTACTCATTACAGCAAAGCATACAAAAAGGGTATGTACATACAAAAGGGGAAAAGGCAAGAAGGGTGGGCAGAGATCATGCCTGATTCCTTCCTGCCCGACTCCTTCCTGCCCCTTCTAAACCTGTAGCATATCTCTTCATTTGCTGCTCCACTGTGGAGAAGCTGAAAACTAGCTATATTTTATTTTTAGTTCCAGTCAACTGGGAGTGCAATTCCTAGCAACCTAATCTTTTAACTGCAAATACCCAAGAGTTTAAAACAAGGTTCAACTTACCTCAGGTCTTTGATTTTGCAGTATGGATTACACAGTGCTTGGCAGAGGAAGTGTAGCCGAGACACTGGCAAACTGCACAGTTGAAAGGACCTAAAGGAAATGAGGGGAAAAAAGTAATTTAAAACAAAGCTTTAAGTAAAAGGCTTATTTGGCTTTTGTTATCTTGCTGGTAGTACTAATTTACCCCTTCCTAAAACCTTAAGAGTTTTGCAGATCCCATTTTGCAGATACGGAAATTAAGGCACAAAAAGTAATCTGCTCAAGGTCACATAGGTAGGTACAGAACTGAGGTCATTACTCAGGTCTGCCTCCGAAACCATGTTACTATGTGCCAGGCACTGGGGTAAGTACTTCATTTTCACAAATTATCTTATCTGGCCCTTAACCCAACAACGAGTATTATAACCATCATTTTGTCCATTATCTGAGACATAAGTGACCTGCCCAAGCTAACTTTACAATATAACTAGTTCTTGGTTGTCAGTACTGATAGAAGAATTAATGACAGTAATTAAAAACCAGGAAAGCTCAATAATAAACTCTTATATAGCCAATGTGCTTGGGGAAGGAGGATGTTGGGCTAAATTTTTGGTAAGAGTTTAAGCCCTCTAATAATGACAATAAGGGTTATAGGGGAGGACTCCATCTAAGGTTGACTTTCTGGAAACCCAAAATGAACCAGGGTTCCTGGAACCTTTGCTTCCATCACTGTTTCAACTTTCTCAAATGTATCAGTACTTTTTCTTTTTTACTTTATAATATACAGCCAGATTAAAGCTGTTATTAATTGGTCAAGACCTTGTAGCCAAGGTCTTTCATAATTCTGAGTTCATTTAACTTCTCATCCCTTCCCCCTCTAGTTCCAAACACAAATTCTTGTTAATGCCTCTCTCCCTCTGATTTCCCTCAAACACACATACCCCATGCTCATTTCCGCCTTTATGCTATTGCCCAGTCAAGAAATACAACTATAACTGGCACAACTTGAGTTAGCTCATTCCTCAAGTGAAGCTTTCTGCTGACCCCTCTCCTTCCAGTCCCCTGTTCCTCAGCTGGTCTGAAAACTAAGGGAGAGGCATTATCCATCTTAACCCAAATATTGAGAACAGACTTACAGCATTTTCTAGACAGCACAAGTATAAGTCTTCTTTGCTTCTTTAGTCAGTAAGCCAGTAGGACTGTATTTTATAGTATACAGAGTCCATATTATAAAAGTAATTCACCTAAGCCTCTTTCAACTTCAGCTCATGACCTTCTGTAGAGTTGTAAGCTCTGGTGGAAATAACTAGGATTTATAGCAAGACAATATAGGAGTGTACCTCTGCCCCTTACTAACCTGAAGTTCCTTGAGGCCTCAGTGATGAAGTATATGTAGAGAAGAGTGACAACCAATTGAATGTTAGATTTATGCCTTTTTCCAGAATGGTCATTGCACAAAAATAGCAGTCCTCAATGATCAACTTAATGATCTTACATGTTCATAACACTTTAGAATTATAAAGCACATCCACACAGTGGCAATGAACACTAATACACACACACACACACACACACACACACACAGTGACTAGTACAGTGCCTGGCACATAATAGATAATTCAATAAATCCTTATTATACTGATTGATATAAAATACAGATAACTGATATGATTACTTTTATTTATTAATAATGCTAGAGATGATCATGTGCCTGAATACATGAAATAAACGAGTAGGCCCATTGTCTGGGAAGGCCAAAAACCGGAGGAAAGATACGGATATACTTACTTATTAAGTGTCAAGGCTGGTGGCATGAATGCTGAGGCTCGCGGCATGAATGCTGAGGCTCGCTCTTCCTCTTCAAATCCAAGTAGGTGCTTACACTTCAGAGACACTGACAGGTGATTGTGACTGCTTTTTACACAGAAGGACATAGCCAGAATGTCCATTTTTGTATAGGTAGGTTGAAGTAGTATAATTGACTGCAAATCATCAATTACCCTTTTTGCATATTCTTCTTCCTGAATCTCATACAAACAGTGAAACAGGTCCATCGGCTCAATTTGTAACGTAGAATATTTATCCTTTATTTCTCCCTCAGTCCACTTCAGTAACTCCTCTCTAAGTCCTGGGGAAACTTTTCTTCCAAAAGTAGTTTCCACCATCTTTCCTTTTCCTTTATGTAAGAGGCCAAATAAGAATTGTATCATTAGTGATGAAAAACCTTTTCCATATTGTTGGAATATTTCTTGCCATATTTTCCCCACTTGATAAGAATACATCCAGCTATTGTCATTCTTCAGGGCATAGAAAACACAGTCAAGAACTCTTGGAAACTGAAGTGAAGAAAAGTGTAGACATCGACAGCTCCTGCAGCCTTTTTCAAAAAGCGACTGAGAAAAGTGCAGTTGGTATCACACACTCCTATCCCATGTCTTCTGAGGTCACTGACCGCAAACAAAACCTGATGGTTTTGCAGACCCTCCACAGCCAAAGAGCAAAGACCCCACAGGCAACTTTGTCCCTCCCATACTGAGATGCCTGTAAGGGTTTTCAGGCACTTGGAAAAGTAGAATAAATACACATCAGTCATGGTCTGAAGTGACCTCAAGAGAGTCCCATCACTGTCTCCCTTTGGCTGCAGGGCATTGCGTATCATCCAAGAGATGATGGGAAGAGAAGAAATAATGTTAAGGTCTTCATTCTCTTGAAGATCATAAAAGACTTTCATTGCTGTATTAGCACCTGAAAACTGGCTCAGTACATATGCTCTCTCTTCAGTATCTGTAAACCATAAGATCTCTACGTGGATAGGTTGTTTTAACAGAGAGTGGAGCTTCTTCATGGCTGTAGGCCGGGCAGTTATCAGGAGAGAGGATTCGGGAAACAGTTTTTTCCTCACAAAACTGTACAAAAGAGTCTCTACTGGCTTCCTCTCCTGGGGGTGAACACTGAGATCCTCTTCTTGGTCACCAACAGGGTCCTGCAGCTCAGGAAATCCATCGAGAATGAACAGAATCTTCTCTGGATATATGAGAAAAATGTCCAAGATTGGTCTGTTTATATCTTGAAAAGTGTGAAAAGTGTTAGTGATAAGGTCAGCAGCACTAAGGTTGGCAACAGGGCTGATTTCTCTGCAGTTGACGTAGATGAGATAGTCAAACCTGCCTGGAGTCACCACTCCTGCTGCCCAATCAAACATGAACTTGTGCACCACAGCTGTTTTCCCAGTCCCAGCACATCCCTGAAGCACCACAGTTTGAGATGAGCTGGAGGCCTCTTCATTAGAATCAAATATATGTTCCATGTCAATAAAATGATCTTGTTGAGGAATTCCACATGGTGTCTCTTCTGATATACCATGGTCTTTTACAAGAAGCAGACATGACTCTATATGCTTGCCACGGTGGTAACATTTATCAGTTCCTATCTTTAGGTATTTTTCTTTTAGATGTTTCTGAATATGTCCCGGTAATCTAATGTGGAGACAGCAAGAGTTAGTAATTACAGAATCCTAGACAACAATTCTAACTAGTACCTCCACCCACCATCTCTACTTAGATGTCTCAAAAGATCCTCAACTTTACATGCCTAAATCTGAGTTCTTGATTTCTATACTCCTCTGTCCCCCAAAAAAACCCTCCTGAGGCATCTCATCTCAGTTAAATGGTGTTAGCCAGTTGCTCAGAAAAATGTTATGAGTATTTTTTCCTTCAGTCCTCTACATCCAATCAATTAGCAAGGCCTAGCATTTATACTTTCAAAAGAAGCCTCAAATTCATTTATTTACCACTGTATAAATACCACCCAAGTCCATGGCACTGTCAACTCTTTCCTAGACTGCTGAAATAGCATCCTACTAATCTATTCTTGCCCACCTACTGGTTCCTTCCTATGCAGCAGCCAAAAAAATCTTCTACAGATACCAATTAGATCATCTCACTTCCCTGCCCAAAATCCTTCAGGAGCTTTTCATTATTCTTGGTCTAAAATCCTAAATTCTCATCCTGCAAGGTGTTCTCATGATCTGGGCCCTCTCTACCTCCCCTCCTCAGCCTCATTTTTTATCATTCTCCTTTTCGCTCTCTACATTAAAGTCACACTGGCCACTTTTCAGTTTTCAAAAATGCCATGTTCTCTCCTACTTCAGGGACTTTGCACTAGCTAATCTTTCCACCTAGACTATTCTTCCTCCTGCTCTTCCCATGAAAAGCCCCCTTTCATCCTTCTGATCTCAAATAATACTTCCTAGAGGAGGATTTGTTTGACCACCCAATTTTTTTTACATGGGGTCTTGCTCTGGTGCCCAGGCTGGAGTGCAATGGTGTCATCTTGACTCACTACAACCTTCACCTCCCAGGTTTAAGCAACTCTCCTGCCTCGGCTTCTTGAATAGCTGGGATTACAGGCACCCACCACCACATCTGGATAATTTTTGCATTTTTAGTAGAGGCAAGGTTTCACCAGGCTGATCAAGCTGGTCTTGAACTACTGACCTCAGGCAATCTGCCTGCCTCGGCCTCCCAAAGTGCTAGGATTACAGGCGTAAGCCACCATACTTGGCCATGACCACCCAATTTAAAGGAGATCTCTCTACTATTTCCCTTCTCAGCACCATATTTTTCCCTTTATGGCACTTACCACAATTTATAACTGTCATGTTCATTTACTTTTTCATTGTCTTTTCTACTATACAATAATCTACATAAAGACAGCGATCTTATCTGTCTATCTCCTTTACAATAAGTACCCTGAGTACGTAGCACTGTGCCCAGCACATAGCAGACACTCAATAAATATTTATTTAATATGACTATAAATGCTTTTGTATTACAAACAAGTTATTGTGACAGATTCTGTTAGAATCTTTACAAACATTTCTAATTTAATTCTCCCAATAATCCCATGAAGCAGGTATTATCCACATTTGATAGTTGAGGAAATTGAAACTTATAACCAGGGCCACCTTCAAGAGTGTGCAATCTGTGCAGTCACACAGATCTCCATGCTCAGAAGGATGTATACTTGGTTTAATGCTCTGCTGTTGCTGTCTTGAAAACCTTAATATTTGACCAGGAGGTTTTGCATTTTCATTTTGCACTGTATCCCACAAATTATGTAGTCAGTGCTGCTTTACATAGCTTTAGGTAACTTGTCCAATGCTAGTAAGTGACATCAAGTACAAACTTCTGTTAAGTGACTGTCTATGCTAGCATTTCCCAAATCAGTGTTCCCTGGAAAACTGTCTGTAAGATATTAATAGAAGAGCTGTGAAAAAAGGTGTCCTGTGGTCAAACAAGTTGAGGGGAGTGCACCCTCTAGTCTCTTAGTTTCTCAATGCTTATTAGCATATGAAAGGCTCTTGTACTAGCATATGAAACATTCTTTAACTTTCGTACAGTTGGAAAAGGGTGTTTAACTTTGTTTAACACAATGTTTTCTGGTTTTAAATGACTAGAGAACCCTTTTCTAACAGCATAGTTATTAATTATTGCAAAACTGTTCCTAGAACTCAGTTCTGGGAATGCTAATCTAGATAAGGGTTGGCAAACATTTTCTGTAAAATTTCTTAAATAGTTTAGGCTTTTTGTTCTCTGTTGCAATTACTAAACTCTGCCATCTTACTGTGAAAGTAGCCATAGATAATATGTAAACAAACAGCTGTATTCCAATAAAGCTTTATTAATCAAAATAGGCGTCTGGTTGGGTTTGACTCACTAGCTATAGTTTGCTGGCCTTGATCCAGTTAATTACAGAAGATGACTGGTCTTTTCTTGGAATAAAAGTTTCTACATCTAGTTCTTGACTACCACCACCAGTGGTTCTCCCAGTATTTGAACAGCTATTTGAATATATTCTATATGATATAGAAGCCCTATTTGTCTTGACGGTTTATGGCTTCATAGTTGCCAAAAGGAGCAATGACTGTGGCCCAGTGAATAAGAGGGAAAAATTAGAGAGGAGTGGTGGGGGGTATGTGGCAGGGATGGGTAGCTGGGTTCTTGGAAGACACTATTCTCAAAACAGAAAAAGAGAGTAAAATAGAAAAGGCATCTACCTGTAAGCTCTTTACATGAAAATTAAGCCGGAGAACTTGAAGCAACTGTGGGAGAAAAAGAGTTAGGAGTAGCACAAATACATCTTTATACCAAAATCTGAAATATACAGAAATTTTGCCACACTGCAACAGCCATTCATGCTGTTCCCCAAACAGAAATACAACAAAGAAAGTAAATCATCTCACATCTTTTCTACCTTACCCACAAAGGTGTTTTATAGCTAATATGCAACATAAAATGAAACATAAGAATTTCTCGGCTGGGCACAGTGACTCACACCTATAATCCCAGCGCTTTGGGAGTCTAAGGTGGGAGGATCACTTGAGCCCAGGAGTTTGAGACCAGCCTTGGCAACATAGGGAGATCCTGTCTCTACAAAAAAAATAAAAAATTTATCCAGGTGTAGTGGTGTGCACTTGTGTTCCCAGCTACTTGGGAGGCTGAGGCAGGAGGATCACTTGAACCTGGGAAGTCAAGGCTGTAGTGAGCTGTGATTGCATCACTGCACTCCAGCCTGACTGACAGAGTGATACCCTATAGCTTTAAAAAAAAATTTCCCTTATGCATACATTTACGTGTAGATATTTTAATTTATATCATCAATAAAGAAAATTTTAGATGTGAACTTAAAGATACATACACTATTTGAAGTGACTGTTATCTGCTATTTTGCTTTCCACTGAATATTACCCTCTTGCTTCTGCTGAAGCTTCCATTGAGCCTAACTTGTCAATGGGAAACAAGGCATTGCTGAGTATTAGTTTGATAGGTATATAAGATATAGATGATGACCTATATTCAAATACATATACACACAATCCAGATACTTTACATATAGATATATAAATAAGAATATACAAGCACACACACAACTCCATATTCCTATAATTTTTTACTACTTGCCCACTTTTAAAAGCAAAAGTGAGACAGAGTTGGGAAGAAGTTGTGACTAGATGGGTGCTAACAGGTGAATGGGAGGAAGCAGGGTCTGGATGGGCAGACATTAGATTGTCACAGAAATGAGCAGGCAAGTGAGTGGTCTGTTGAAAATAACTGGTTTCTATTCCCCACAACTAAACATTACTTAGATTTCAGGAATCAGCCACAAGAGGAAGGACTCCAGCAATCTTCACTCTTAGTTCTTTTGTGTTGTCTCCTGTGAAAAGCTATGGTTACATTATAGAAAGAGACTTGGAGCCTTTTATAATTGTAAATGTTTTGGGGGTTATGGAAAACAACAGAAACCACAGTTGCCTCTTCTCTGTCTTTCTTTATCCTTACTCTAGGCAACACAAAAATTGTGGAGACAGTTTCAAGAGATTAATGGTAAATATTGTATCCATGTAATTCACATCTAACAAAATTTTAAAGTTTCAGAAGAATCACAAAGAGCATGAGTAAAAGAAACAGGAGAAAGAGAATGAATAGGCTTACCTAGTATATACCCTCTCTTACTTCATTCAGTTACTCACCATTCTCTCCAGACAATAAACTCCAGATACAAGCAAGTCCCACATGTTTTCTTTTCTTCTGATTGTTCATCCTGGCAAATCAAGAAGACTGTAATCCAAAACAACAACGATGACTACAAGGCCTAGAGGATGCTTAGCGTAAAAAGTAACTCAAGGAAGAGTCTTCATTCAAGGTATTAGAGAGCAGCAGAAGAAAGAAGGTCCAATAACCAAGCAGATAGCTGGGGTAGGACGCAGGGGAATCACGTGAAGATCGACCAAGACTAACCATCTTCAACTTGAAGAGAGAAAAAGCTGAAAGAGGACAGAATGTGTATAAAGTTTTGAAGGCTACAAATATGGAGAATGTCAAATTGGGCTCTAAATTGAGTTATTAAGAGAAGCATCGGAATTAGGTAGCATACCTCTAATGTCTGGGATTAAGAAAAGTAAGAATGACAATGTTCTTCTACAACATATTTTTGGTGCCATCAATAAAGGAAGAATTCTAAGACTACAGACTGGAATACTGTGATATAAGAGAAACAGTCTAGAGAATCAGAAGACCTGGGTCCTAACTCCATTTCTACCTATCCATGGACCTCAAGTAAGATTCTCCTTCCTAGAGAAGGGTCAGTTTTACTATTTTTTAAATGGTTCAAGGACTGTTAGACCAGGTTTCTTTACACATTTAACACTGTAATATCAGGAGTTCTCACTCCTAGCTACATATCAGACTCTTGAAATATTACTTATCACCTTCTAATATACTTGATAATTTACTTATGTATTATGCTTATTGTTCTTGTTAGTCTTTCCCACCTAAATTGAATTACTGGCCCTTTTCTCAACCTTTGTCATGAACTTTGCAAATCCACACAAAAAAACCTGGAGCTTATTTTCTCACCTACTGTCTTTGAGCTCAATCATGAGATTTTGGTTAATGCAGTGAACCCAGAGTTGAAC